CAATCCCACCTGGTCATGGTAGTTAATCCTTTTAATGTACTGTTGGATCCTATTCACTAGGATGTTGTTGAGTATTTTGGCATCTATGTTCATCAGGGATATTGGTCTGTAATTCTTTTTGATGGAGTCTTTGCCTGGTTTTAGGATCAGGGTAATGCTGACCTCATAGAATGTGTTTGGAAGTTTTCCATCCATTTCTATTTTTTGAAACAGCTTCAGTAGAATAGGTGGTTTTTCTTGTCTCAATGTTTGGTAGAATTCCTCTGGGAGGCCATCTGGCCCCGGACTCTTGTTTTTTGGGAGATTTTTGATTACTGCTTCAATTTCATTACTGGTTATTGGTCTACTCAGATTGTCTATTTCTTCCTGTTTCAGTCTTGGTAGTTTATAACTTTCCAGGAATGCATTCATTTCTTCCAGATTGCCTAATTTGTTGGCATATAGCTGCTGGTAATAAGTTCTAAAACTGTCTCTATTTCCTTGGTGTTAGTGATGACATTTCCCCTTTCATTCATGATTTTATTAATTTGGGTCCTTTCCCTTTTCTTTTGGATAAATCTGGCCAGCAGTTTAGCAATCTTATTAATTCTTTCAAAGAATTAGCTCCTAGTTTCATTGATCTGGTCTACTGTTCTTCTGCTTTCTATTTCATTGATTTCTGCTCTAATCTTTATTATTTCTCTTCTGCTTGGTTTAGGCTTCACTTTCTCTTTTTTCTCCAGGTCCTTTGGGTGTAAGGTTAGTTTGCACAATAGGCATTTTTTAATTTCTTGAGAGAGGCTGGATGGCTATGTACTTCCCTTTTAGGACTGTCTTTGCAGTATCCCATAGGTTTTGAATATGTTTTCATTTTCATTGGTTTCAATGAATTCTTTAACTTCTTTAATTTCCTGGTTGACCCATTCATTCTTTGATTATTATTATTATTGTTGTTGTTATTATTATTATTACATTCTGTTAGCAAACGTACAGTACATCATTAGTTTTCCACGTACTGTTTCTTTAGGAGAACGCTCTTTAACTTCCACATGTTTGAGTTCCTTACAAATTTCTTGTGGTTGAGTTCCAGTTTCAAAGCACTGTGGTCTGAATATATGCAGGGAATAATCTTAATCTTTAGTATCAGCTGAGACCTGATTTGTGACCCAGTTATATGGTCTATTCTGAAGAAAGTTCCATGTGCACTTGAGAAGAATGAGTATTTGCTGTTTTAGGATAGAATGCTCTGTATATATCTACAAAGTCCATCTGGTCCAATGTGTCATTCAAAGCTCTTGTTTCTTTTTTGATCTTCTGCTTATATGATCTGTCCATTGCTGTGAGTGGAGTGTTGAGGTCTCCTACTATTAATGTATTATTATCAATGTGTTTCTTTATTTTGATTATTAATTGGTTTATGTAATTGGCTACTCCCATGTTGGGGCATAGATATTTACAGTTGTTTGATCTTCTTATTGGATAGACCCTTTAAGTATGATACAGTATTCCTGTACATCTCTTACTACAGTCTTTGGTTTAAAATCTAATTTGTCTGGTATGAGGATTGCAACCCTACCTTACTTTTGAGGTCCATTGGCATGGTAAATGTTTTTTCATCCCCTCACTTTCAATCTGGAGGTGTCTTTTGGTTCAAAGTGATTCTCTTTTAGTCAGCATATGGATGGGTCCTGCTTTTTAATCTAACCTGAAACCATGTGTCTTTTGATGGGAGCATTCAGCCCATTTACATTCAGAGTAACTATTGGAAGATATGAATTTAGTATTGCCTGTAAAGTCCCTGTTTCTGTAGATTGTCTCTATTACTTTCTGGTCTATATTACTCTTGGGGTCTCTCTTCACTTACAGAATCCCCCTTATGTCTTGCAGGGCTGTCTTGGTGGTCACATATTCTTTCAGTTTCTGTCTGTTGTGGAAGCTCTTTATCTCTCCATCCATTCTGAATGACAGCCTTGCTAGGTAAAGTAATCTTGGCTTCATGTCCTTCTCATTTAGTACCCTGAATATATCATGCCAGCCCTTTTTGGCTTGCCAGGTTTCTGTGGATAAGTCTGATGTTATCCTGATGTTCCTCCCTCCATATATAAGGAATCTCTTCTCCCTAGCTACTCTCAGAATAGTTTATTTGACTGTAAGATTTGCAAGATTCACTACTGCATGTCAGGGTGTTGATTTATTTTTATTGATTTTGGGAGGGTTCCTCTCTGCCTCTTGGACATGAATGCTTGTTTCCTTCCCCAGATTAGGGAAATTATCAGCTATGATTTGCTCAGATAAACCTTCTAGCCCTCTCTGTCTCTCTGCTCCCTCGGGGGTCCCAGTAATTCTGACATTGGAACATTTCATGGCATCATTATTCTCTCCAATCATTTTTTCATGGTCTACTAGCTGTCTATTTCTGGTTTCCTCAACTTCTCCCTTTCCATCAACTTATGTTCTAGATCACTTATTCTCTCTTCTACCTCATTTCCCCTGGCTATTAGAGTATCCAGTTTAGACTGAATTTCATTCATAGCATTTTTACATTCGGCCTGATTAGATCTCATTTCTGCCCTTAGAGTTTCTATGTTGTCACTATTGCTTTTTTCAAGTCTATCTATTGACTTTATGACTGCTATTGTGAATTCTATCTCTCATTCTTACTTATATCATTTCGATTATCTCTATGGCAGAGAACACTGTCTCATTCTTTTTTTGTGTGAGTTCCTCTGTCTTGTCATTCTGTCCAGAGAATGATGGGTGGGCGAATGAGCAGAGTCCAAAATATCAACATGACCCAAGCAAGATGCACCCTAGCGAAATCCAGAGTGGTTGGAAGGAACCACAGGAAAACAAAGCCAAAATTAAACACAAGAATAAAATTTTTTTTAAAGATTTTATTTATTTATTTGAGAGAGAGAGAATGAGAGATAGAGAGCACAAGAGGGAAGAGGGTCAGAGGGAG